TCCTACCATTTTGTCTGTAATTTGCTAAGTCCCCCCTATTATTATGTTATCCTTCTTTTATTCTTTAAAATAAAAAAATAAAAAATAATATAGATACTTCATCTATAGAGGAGATACAGATATATTTTTTGGACACTAAGGATTGAACCCAGGGCCATCCCTGTATTGGGCAAAGGCAAGCACTCTATCACTGAGCTACATGTCCAGCCCTTCTATTTTTTATTTTGAGGCAGGACCCCACTAAATTGCCTCGGCTGGCCTTGAACTTCTGATTCTCCACTGTCAACCTCTTGAGTAGCTGGGATTATAGGCATGCACCACTATGTTCACATAAAGAGGATATTCAAGTGACTGATTGGCAGATGAAAAGGTATTCTATTTTATTAGTCACAAGGGAAATGCAAATTAAAACCACATTGTGATATGAAATACCCATGAAGATAGCTAAAATGAAAAAAGAAGCCAGGCATGGTGGTGCACGCCTGTAATCCCAGCACTCAGGAGGCTGAGGCAGGAAGATCTTTGTGAGTTCCAGACCAGCCTGGGCTACAAAGTGAGCTCAAGGTTAGCCTGAACTGCAAGCGAGACCCTGTCTTCAAAAGGCAAAAAAAGGAAAAAAGTACTGATAGGTCAACAGACTAGAGTGATGGTAAGGGGAACGTGGAACAACTGCTGATGAGGTGTGGTTTGGTAGAGTCACTTGAAAACTGGCATGATCTAATTTGTTTAAACTAAAGGTATGTGCACCTTGTGGTCCCAGAAATCTGATCCCTGGGTATATGTCCAACACAGGGCAAACACATGTACACTCAAAGACATGCATGGGGGAGGCTGAGAGAGCGTGACCAGTTTGAGGCCAGCCGGAGTTACTTAGGAAGATAGTATCTCAAAATAAAATAAATGGGCTGGGGATATAGGTCAGCGGTAGAGTGCTTATCTAGCATGAAAGGCTCTGGGAAAGGGGAGGGTGTGCAATACATTGAGTTACATGTATAAAATTACTAAAACAGTGATCCCTCATCTATCACAGGAGTTACATTCCAGAGACCCCTGTGACGGGGAAAATCTGTGAAGTAGCGGTGTTATATTTATTTTATTATTTATACATATTTTAAGGCTTTATTAAACCTTCCCACACTCCTATAAACCTTTCCTACTCTCTTATTAACCTTTCCCACACTCTTATAAACACTTCATATGCTCTTAAACACAAGGAGGGCCTGGGGATATAGCTCAGCGGCACAAGCGCCTGCCTGGCAAGTGCAAGGTCCTGAGTTTGATTCCTTGTACAAAAAAAAAAAAAAAAAAAAAACCACAAGGAGAGATGTTGCAGTGCGGGAGAACAAACAGATGCTAGGGTCACTGAGCCAATCAGTGCCCAGGATACAGAACACAGTACTGTGGTTGGTCACCTTCCATTCCATCAGCCAATAGCGTGCTGTGTACAATATCATGTTGGCAAATTTGCGCAAGCAGTAGTGGCATACTGCATCTCCATTGTGTATAGTACAGCATTCATCCACCGATGAATTACATACTGTATTTTATTGTGATTTAATATTCTTTTAATATGTTTCAATTAACATTTTTGTATTTTTATATTGTTTTAAGTTTTTTGGCAAAATAATTAAAATCATAAATATTATATAAATACCTATATACTGCAAAATCCCATGATATGGCAAAAACTCCGTGATACAGAATCAGATTTTTTTTTTTTTTGGTCTTTTTGAGGCAGGGTCTCCCTATGCAGTTCAGGCTGGCCTTGAACTCACTTTGTAGCCCAGGCTGGTCTCGAACCTGCAATGATCCTCCTGCCTCAGCCTCCCTAGTGCTGGGATTAGATATATATATATTTGAAACCCATAATATAGTGAAGCCACAATAAGTGAACTGCGATATAGCAAGGGACGACTGTACTTAACAGATGTTGATTACAAAACTGGTAAAATTTCACATGGCTAACCTGACTACAAGAATGTTTCAGATCTGGGCATAGTGGCACACGCCTGAAATCCCAGCACTTCGTGTAACAGAAAATGCCCCTCCCTGCCGGCCAGTATACTTCAGTTTCTTAGTTGCCCGGGTAATAGTTTCTGTTCCAGTTCTGGCTGCTTCTGTGTCATAGAAACAGCTGGTCACCGTGATGCACAGTGTATAAACCAATCCCCAACTGACAAGCCATTCTGCCTCTGTGCTTCTTGCTAGCTTATCCCATACAAGCCCCAGACCACCACAGATCAGGGCCTGATATTTTAGGAATAATTCTGATCAGTGCCCGTCAACATAATAAATCTGCCTCCGAATCCTGGGTGTCATTGTAGGGGGCAATGAATCTTAGCATATTATTTTAGATAAAATAGTTCGGTAAAAGCCTGCATGGTGCCTTGGGAAGCCTCCTGGGACAGTGCAAGAGCTAATTCCCCAGATCAACACTGCCCAGGAATATCTCCCCAAAATAAGGGGGCGCCTAGGCCTAGGTGACCCTCCGTGACCCTGCCTGGGCAGTTCTGTCTCCTGGCCCTAGGTAAACATTGTAACCCTAAAGGAATGCATAGGTTGTAAAAAAGGAGATAATGGGGGGAAACATCTATCATGGTTAGACATGCGACCTGCAACTGACCTGGGGTCCAACAGGATGAGAGAAACACCATATACCCACCAGGGTTGGAGAATGTAACACCCCAATCTGCTGTCAATGGAAACCAAAATGTATATAAGGTGAAACAAAGTTAGCATGGGCCCGCTTCCAGATTGGCAAAGGAAGTGAGGGTGGCTAGCCTCAAATTAAACTCTGGTTTGTTCTCACTAGACTCGGGTTTCTTGTGGAATACAGCCCATTTGGTGCGAGGGGGAATTTCTGCCGTAACATCATTTTGGTGCTTCTGTTTGCCACTGCATCTGGTGCATTGGCCGGGAAGACTGACCTTGCCCATGGTC